TCCCCCCCCCCGCGCGTCCTACCGCTCCATCGATTGTAATACACGAAGTACGTTCCTAGAGGTCTTCTTTAAAAAAAAAAAATTAGTTTTCGATCCGGCTAAAGTCGTTCAAACCAGCACCCCGTTTCCCCTCTCTTGTAACCCCCCCCCTCCCTTTCCCAACCAAAATTAGTACCCAACCCGTCCAAGGAATTAATGCGTTAAGACCATAATAATATTATTACAGAAAGAAAATGATTTTGAACCCTACACTGGTCTCTCAGTCACCCTAAGCCATCCTATTTGTCCCTTTTCATAACTGCTTTATACCTTTAGTTGATTGCAAACTTCTTCAAACGTTTAAACGACTTCTTTAACGTAGTGCTTATAGCCGCTCTTCCGCCGCACATATAAAACATGAGTTCGATTCTAGTGTGAGGAGATTTTCTATTTTCTGATCAAATATCCCAGTCTACGAGTATCTGGACGTTGTAATTCCTCTCCGACAGGGCTGGCCCAGACAGACAGGGCCGAAACAGCCCGCCTCCTAAATGATCTAACGTGCATCGATGGGGGCATACAACATCTACTGTTACGAGTTTTGTAGTTCTAAAATTTCTAAAGAAGTTTCTAAATTTCTAAAGTCTAAAAACTAAGGTATTCTATATGCTTTCTTGTGGTTCCCACGACGACCTTACAGGTATTGGGAGGTATGCAGGTCAAAGAACTCAGCTTCTCTCTTCACGGAGACGACCATTACTACCGCTACTTCCAGAAAGAGATTCTGGAGGCACGGACACAAGGTGTGGACCCACAGAGCTTGCATGTGCCGGACATCAGTGACAGCGGAGACTACGAGGTATGATCTGAACTTTGTGTGTGCACTAGCTTATCAGCTTAGTATGTACATGTATTACCCTTGCCTAATGTTTGTTTACAATGATTTAAGAATAAAACTAATCTTTATGCTTTTATTATTTTCTTTTAGATTAAAGGCAATTAGAGCCTGCAATGGAGTCAGTGAAATACTACTTTTTGTCTCCCCCCCCCCCTCTCTCTCTCTCTCTCTCTCTCTCTCTCTCTCTCTCTCTCTCTCTCTCTCTCTCTCTCTCTCTCTCTCTCTCTCTCTCTCTCTCTCCCAACGACAGAGAAATGTAATCTTCTTTCCACGAATCTGGAAACAAAAACAAGGAGGAAACTGAAAAAAAAAACCCATGCATGTTATTGTATTTCACAATCAATTTAAATTGTGCCAGATTTTGCTGTCAGAGCAATGCATGTTATCGGCAAGGCGTCTGAGTGATTAAAAAACAACAAAACAAACGAATACAACTATGCTATAAGGTCACATACCTCTCGTTTCTTTCAGGTGCGTGGGGAATTCGTCGTTTTCGGCAACGGCATTATCCAACTTCAGACCTTCTCGAAGCGAGGAAACCATAGCGAAGTGTTCAGGGCTCATGAGCCGCACACCAGCCCAGCCATTGTTCCCGCACCTCACTTCTGCTTCTGGGTCAAAGACTCGGCCAATTTCAATCACTATATTCATGAGCTGGAGGCCAATGCTGCGAGACTTGGCATGCCAAACGTCAGGGTACGATGCTTTGCGGTTCAGGCTCTCTGATTAACCTCTAGAGGGTTTTGGAAAGTAAATAGACTAAGGGCCTACTACACACCAACTGCAGGTGCAGCCTCTCAATTTAGTTTGATATCGAGCATAAAGACTTTGATGGTCAGATGTACAAGGAAGACTATTGTGGTGTATTTACCCAGTCTTTGGCCTCTTTTCTTTTGTTGTCGTTACTCTGATCAGCGGATCAAGTTCCCAGTCATAAAAATGATCTTTAAGCGGCAAGTAGGAAGTTAAACTTAAGTAAAGAGAGGCAGGACACGAAAAGCACTCTGGTTCATCTGAAACGTTTTTTAGGAGTCATCAGAACCCTTGTTTTTGCTTGAAGTGTGCTCATCTGTCCATGAAGCGTAGAGACATTAGAAAAGCTGGATGGGTCCAGACAAATTATATTGATGGACTAAAATGGGAAAGCGCAAACGATTTGGCCCATGGGTTTTAGTGGACTACTGTCCATGTTATTCAGGTATTGGTGAGATTTTGGTATGATCTTTGCTGTCAAAGATTTGGTATTTATATAATAATATGGTTACACGTATAAGACGTTTGTAATGCGCTTTAAGTCGTTTTAGCATCCATCAACGTCATAAGAAAACTGAATTAGAAGTTAATGTACTGAATTCCTACCCCCCCTCCCCCCACAACCATAAAATGCATATGCTTTCAATTGAGCATCGAAACTATTTGTCATTGTTCGTATATCCGATTGTGTTGTTGACTTTCATCTTTGCACGTCGATTGCTTCTCAAATAACCAGAACATTACGAAAAGGGGAGGGGGTGGACATTTTGTCTGGTGTCTTAAGTGTTAACAGTATAAGGGCAATTTCTAAAGCGCCAGTGTCTCTGAGAAAGAAGACCTCAGATTTAACGCCTCCTACCTTTAGGAATGGGGTAGGTACATGAACTATCATCCCCCCCCCCACCCTCTTTCCATTTGCACACACACACACACACACACACATTCATCATATCCTGATTCCAACGACGGTTGCCCGTATTTCAGTTCATCATGGTACCAATAGAGCTTTTAGCAAGCCCCTATTTCTGTGGAAGAAGACTGGACACCACCAAGGGTAAACAATGTCAGAACTTAATGCAGCTCGTTTTCCCGACAGGTCAATCGGCCCGTTCCGCTGGCGTCCGAGTCTGACCGAGCAACAGTGCCAGAGGAAAAACTGGGAGTGACGTTCACGGACGGAGATTTCGCTGGTGTTTCATTTGCGTATTTCAAGGTACTCGTATTTAGTCGCCAGAAACATTTCTTTCCAGACATCACTATTTTCTTTTATTTGCACTGTATTCTTGTTCTCTCTTTGGCAGGGGCGAAGGCTGACTTGTTTGACAGGGTAATCAAAGTGAAATGGGACCAGATATGGCCTGTAGATATCACACAAGAATCTTACTCGAGGCGGCGACTCTGAGTTGTGAATGAAAACAAATCCGGAATTCATATTGTATGTTCAACCGCCAAAATAATCGGGAAAATATCTTATTAGATATCAGTTCCCACTAAAATTAAACTTAACTTTAGATGTGAATACATAAACACAAAGCAAAGAAGCAGAGATGTCAGTACTAGATCTATATGTTATAGATCTACCAGTGAGTCTAACTCTTTGGTAGAACATGACAATTATTATTTTTTAAATTTCACATTTGGCTGTTTTTGTTAGCCTTTCGCGGCCAGGAGCTGGTGTCATAATCGAAGTCACGATCTGATTATAGGACGGTAAAAAGTCGAGGAAAAAACCCCAAGCACAAGCAGCAGTCAAGAGATTATTAAGAGTTAGTTCCCCTCACATTTGTGAGGTAGACTCGACCAGTGTTAGTTAGCTTACTTAATCAGGGCTTGTGATTGATGTTAACTGTGGCCCCAAAGGGGTGAACAGGGTATATGTGGCAATGAAACAGCTTTGACTGCCATGCATATGTTCCCTTCAACTCTATTCCAGCCTCACTTTAAGCTTACTTAATCAAAGCTTGCGACTGCTTATGGAGTGGCCCGAGAGGGGTGAGGAGGCTATTTCTGTGGCCGTGAAACCGTTTTGAATGTTAGACATACTGTTCGTTGTTGGTTACGAACGTCTTTTTACATTTAATTTATGAGGTTTACGTTTAAGGATGAATTTGACAGCGACAATGTTTCAAAATTAGAAAGGGAAGCAGTGATTATTTGATATTATATAGACGCTTCGCCCCTGCTCTTTGGTCCATATTTTTCTTCATCAGCTACCATGTGGACACTTTTCTTTCCTCACTTCTTGAATTTCTCAGTCCTGTATTCTATATGTTCATCTCCCTTCCCTTTTGTCCGCACCCTATGCCCGTTTTATCGCCGGTCTTCTTTGTCCGGTCGTCTTCTACCTCTCTCCATCGTCGCTGGTGTCGTTGTTGTCGATCGTGTTGGATACACACTTACTAGATTAGTCCAATCTGCTTGGATGGCATTTTTTGGAATAAGGAAAATGTGTTTGCGACATACCCGAGTGTTTTTGGGGCTTTTAAACATTTTTTTCTTGCTTTTTTTTCAAATTTGAAAGTTGAATTTCGACAAAATAATAAGTTAATTACTGACTTATTAAAATGATATTTCTGTCCCCCAGGGCCCCACGGGAGAGCAGCTGGAGCTGTTTCAGATCCTGAATCAGTCCCGATATCACGTCGGCGAGGAGTGGTGCAAGAGGCGTGCTGTCAGTCCGGCCTTTGTCTCCAACTACAGCGACAACAGTTACAAGCGGAACGCCGGCTACAGCGGTCAGTTGTATGGACTGTTTCAGTTCGGAACAAGGACAGCTGATCTGGCCACTTCCGGTGAGGATAAAACTACATGTGTCTCAGTGGCTGTTCTTATGCCTGTACAACGTGCTTGCACACGTGCGCGCACTTACACACATAGACAAACACAGTCATGGTCGCAGGACCCCACATTTTCCTCCTGAGGTGCATAAACATATGTGAGGCAGCGTGGTGAAATCAGGCTCTCGTCAAAATAGTCAAAGTATAGAAACTGGCATTTTTCCTCAAGCTTGGGAATTTGTATAGAATTTTTGTTTTTTGGCTAACACCTTTCACGCCCTTTAAAGAACACATTTCTGTGTGGGTTGTGCGGAAAAACGTTGATTTAAGGCATAACAGATGTCAATTTTTAGTTTAGACGGGCTCTCATATTTAGGAAATAACTCAACTTTGGCGGCCATTTTCTCACTAATTTTACCTCTGAAACCAGGCCACCCCACCTCCTTCAATCACCAATATCTTGACTTCTATCCAAGATAAATAGATGTTGTTTTCATCAAAAGCAAGGCAAATGGACAAGCTTTAAGATGATACCAATAACTCCATATGCCTCGAAATTGACGAGAGCCTGATTCCACCGCGTCGTGACACATATGCAGTAAAATGAGCATTAATGTAGAAAGGCCATGTGCTGCACAGGCATGGGGAAAGGAGGCAGGAGGTATAAAGATAGACAGAAAGGAATATGAGAGAGAGAGAGAGAGAGAGAGAGAGAGAGAGAGAGAGAGAGAGAGAGAGAGAGAGAGAGAGAGAGAGAGAGGGGGGGGGGAGCTGGGGTTGGGGTGGGGATAGGGTGTGAGGAAAGAGAATTGAGTTCACATTTTGTGGTTATCATGCACAATGATAAGTTTGTAAGCTTTAATTACCCTTGTTTCTGGGAAAAAAGACCAAATAAAAAATATATAAAAAACTTGCCCAAGATATTACACTGGCCTTGTATTATAATACCAATAACTTGAGACAAGCGCAAAAACTTCAAGAGTCATCAATTAATTTAGAAAGTAACCCTTTTCTTTTGCATGTATGACCTCTATTAAGAATAATGTAATGTAACCTTTTACGTCAAAGAGAGAGATGCGAGACGGAGAAGAGGGGGGGGGGGAGTTCTTTCTTCCTATACAATTCTAAACGTATTGCTGCACAAAATGACGTGTGCTAGAGGCTAACTAATAGCCAACAGTAGTCAAAACATGTACGGAGGCTGGAGGTTTAAAAAATAGATATATGTTGTTTTTTCCCCCGTATTTTCTTCTTGTTGTTGCTGATACATCAGCGGCGCACATCTCTGGAACCATGTTTTATTTCATCACTGCAGTATGGTGAGCTCATATCATACTTTAGGTAGATGCACATTCGATCAGAAAAGGAAGATGGAGTTGCTTTTTTGTGTACTTGAATCTGCAGTTAAATTCTACACCCAAGTGCTCGGTGCACAGCTCATTCAGAAACCTATACAGGCTGTCAATGTGAGAGGAGACGACGCGGCGTACATGCTATTCCACAAGGAAATCTGGGACGCTCTTCGATGGAAGGTAAGCATGCCGTGATTTGAAAATAATTCAGTAAGGGCACATTTACCTCACTTAGATATTCCGCCTCTTGTGCTTGATGGGTATCCGTATGTTCCTTATAGGCTACTTCTTTTAAAAACTCCTATTACCCTTATCTTTTCAAGATTAAATTTGACTTAGATGTATATCAGAATGAGTCACGATGAACTATAAATCGCATCAGCAGGCACACAAGTAGCAGCAACAGCAGCAACAGCAGCAACAGCAGCAACAGCAGCACCAGCAAGAGTGACAACGCAAAAAAACCAACCAAACAACAATAATAGTTTTAATAACAAAGCTGACTGACAAGACACACGCCATACAATGCAGGCGAAAAGCAAAGTAGTTAGAAAGAACTTCGGAACGAAAGGAACGTGAATGGGACAAAACAGTGGCACACTCGCTCTCCAATCCCAGGCATGGCACTAAACATCCTTCAAAAGAGAATCAACGAAAAGTATGGGCTAGCACCAGCAGTTCGTAACACGGTGCTGCGAGTTTCTTATAACATGCTTCAAGCCTCTATTGTAAACGTCATTGTTTGGGGTTGACGTCGATTCCTGTAGCAAAAATTTTGGTTTTCTTATCGTTTCCCAAAGTCACTTAATTTGTATGGTTTATTTTATTCAGCTCTAAAACGGAATATTATAAAATATTCTGTTGAGGTGTGATGAGTTTTTAAAAACATTAGTGCTATATATAGTTGTTACGGACCGCCGTTTCTGCACTCCGCTCCCCTCCCCGACGCCTCCCCAGACCAGTAGAAGAGATATCGGCATTGCAGACCTCTGGGACTCGGGTAACAACAGACTGGACCATCGCTTTAATCTCTTCGATAACTACGTGGTGGAGACCCTCCAATATACAGACGGCCGTGACCTCTCGGCTCCTAAGTTCAACCCGCGCTGGAACCACAGCAGCATGGCATACTCCGGAGATATGTCTGTCAGGTACTGTGACCTTCCTACGCTTTGCAGTGCTGGCATTTGCCACGTTTACACTTTGCATTGTATTTATGACAAAAAATTGTTTGCCTTCAGTTTTAAAGCAATACCTCTTTCGATATCATCATTAACTCATTTTGAATTGTATGACTTGGAAAGCGACAACTTTCTTTATCATTCATTTGATTGTTTCTGTACTAGAATTGTTTGGAAGAACGGCATCTCTTCAAGGTTATAATTCATTCTCTCTCTCTCTCTCTCTCTCTCTCTCTCTCTCTCTCTCTCTCTCTCTCTCCCTTGTCTTCTATTGTCCCCCCCTCTCTTTCTTCCACCTCCGTGTACGTGTGCCTGGAGAAAGGTACTAAAAGTCGGATTTTGACCATTTTGTACCTAATGGGAAATTTAAAGGTGAACACATTTTTGAGATCCCAAGTAGTTTTTGAGATATTGCACATGTTGTTGGGTATAAAGATATAATTTTGAGAAAATTAGCGTTTAAATTTAGAACACATACAAACTTGAAAAAACAAAACAAACGATGATTCAATTGTTTCTAATGTATTTATTCATAAAAAATCCATTTCCAATTAGGCTTTCAATTGACATCAATATCATGATTAGAATCCAATGGTGAAACATAGCGGGGCAGAGAAAACGCGCTTCAAGAATAGTTTTTAACACCTTTTAAAAGCAGTTTTCATCATTTAAAAAAATACCCTACCTTCAAGATAATTCTTAACAAAATATTTAGAAGTCAAATCAATGAAAACTGTTTTAACACATTGTTAAAAATGGTGGAACTATCATTTTTTAAATTGAAACACATTTTGATTTTAAAAAGTGATTTTTTATCATTATCAGCCTGAAGCTCAAAATCATCTGTGGCGACTTTTGGTACTCTTCTCCAGGCGCACGCATCCTGAACCTTCCCCCGTTGTTTTCACTTTTTCGCTTTCCACTGACTTTTCAGCCTCTCCTATTTGTCGGTAGGCTAAAACTGTATGAATCGTTAATCAGTCTTTTAAAATTACAATTAAATGTACGAAAAATAGTTCGAATTAACAGGTAAACCGTCTACATGCATCAACTACAGCATGAGACTAAGTGGAAACTTAAGAATTACAATCATGAAGTAGTGTTCTTTCTTGTTTAATAGCACAAGGTGCAGAAAACATAACAGTCCATTTTCCAATGTTGCTGGCAGTTTTCTACACGATTTCTTGTTAAGTACCCAGTACGGTAGTAACTTTTTATGATAACGCCATTCTCAGCGTATCTTTCATTCTTTTAGCTTTCTGATAGACGAAGCCTCAGACTTCAACAGCGTGGTTCGGGATGTCGAGGTTTCAGCAAAGGCCAAAGGTTTCACGGACGTTCTGGCAAATCGACCAGTAAACGTGTCGAGCTTGGGTGAGAGCGTTGGACTTGGGCAGTACAGCCGTCCCATTGCTTCTGGTCCTCTAAAGGGCCTGAACTATGTCTTTTTCAAAGGCTGGAGTGGCGAACATTTTGGATTCGTGCAGTTCAAGGACGAGGCAAAAGCGAAGTTGAAGGCAGCTCTTCTACAGTACGGCGCTATGAGCACAGCTTTCCCCGAGACCAACCCGTGGACGAGCGATGGGTTCGATCAGTTCTGCTCTGCGTACACAGATCCTATTGTGGGATAAAAGATTCGAGGTTTCTTTCGAGGCCAATGAAGATCCATGGAGCCGAGCTCGTCATGATTTGCATAGCGGGGGGAAATAATGCTGGATTATGATATGAAAGTTTAAAACAACAACAACAAAAACAACAACAACAACAACAACAACAACAACAACAACAACAACAAAAACCTCTGGTCCGATGCACCCAAAATAGTGAAATTATTTTTGGGCAGATTGTTTTTGTGGAAGTGCGGGGATGTGGAGGAGGGGGGTGGGGTGGTAGAAAGGAATTGCTGTTCAGATATGCCACATGACGGCTCAGGGTTGAGGGGGTTAGGAAAATATAGGAGAGCATGGATTTGAGAACCTTAGAAGTCCCTGAGAAAATGGCAGCTTCAGGAAAGAATCAAACCTTGACATAGATTTATCATCGCAAAAGAAAAACCGTATTGTTCGGATGAGGGAATATTTGAATACAGACCGCAATATTTTTATGTAACGGAAAAACGTTGGTGTCAGAATTTGATGTTAGAAATGCTAAACTGATTTTTAAAGCAAAAGTTAAAAAAGAAATAAAAAAGAAATCATATTAAAAAAAAAAAAAATTGTCTATGCACCACAAAAGCCCAAAATCAATGTAAGATTGCATATTTGAAGATTCAAAGAATTGCACAAATGGCATCTTTTTTAAAGTGAGACATCTCTCAAGGCTCATAACATCATTTATATATTCTCGTATATGATTTTGTAAACCGCTCTCTATAAACATACCAACAGAACTAACGAATAAACCACAAAGACTCCAGAACCAAGCTTAGAGAGTTATTCTACCCCCCCCCCCTTGACCTATATGTAAAAGAGAACACACAACACCATGGCTTTTACAGCAACATTAGCTCCCCACATTAATTGCAAAGTGGCAGTAATGTGCTTTGAGTATTTAAGCGATCTAACACAACATCTTTCTAATCCACTACATGTCGGAGTATACTCCATCTCGAATTATTTACGGTCCATTAATAAAAGTTAAAGACGGTGCCTATTTTCTTAAAAATTGGAGGTAGGTCTTTCAAGACAGCTGCTCGATCAGAATAAAATTCCCTCCCACTATATATAATTACCACCATCATTTGCTGTTGTTATTATTATTGTTGTTATTATTATTATTATTATTATTATTATTATTATTATTATTATTATTATTATTATTATTATTATTATTATTATTATTATTATTATTATTATTATTGTTCTTCTTCTTCTTCTTCTTCTTCTTCTTCTTCTTCTTCTTCTTCTTCTTCTTCTTCTTCTTCTTCTTCTTCTTCTTCTTCTTCTTCTTCTTCTTCTTCTTCTTCTTCTTCTTCTCTTCTTCTTCTGCTTTTTCTTCTTCTGCTTCTTCTTCTTCTTCTTCTTCTTCTCTTCTTCTTCTGCTTCTTCTTCTTTGTTTTAT